TAGAAGCTAGTAAAGTTATTGAAGCCAATGATGATGTTGCAGAACAGTATGCTGCTGAAAGTTCAGATCCAGAGATGTTAAGTGAACAACAAAAGGCTGATTTGGATAAAACAACCACGGAATGTGAGAAAAAAATGCAAGAGCTAAAAAACCTAATACAGAAGACATTGGAATATTTTGGGGAATATGAACTGACGCAAGCCATTACAACTGCAGAGTCACTTGCAAATTATGTGGACACTGAATCCAAGTAAAAGCACAGATGCATATGGATTCACGATAGAACATTTGCAAGACCTTGTACAGACGGCAAAGGCAGTGCATAAACATTGGAAATGTTGGGCTCCTCATGCAGAGCAACATGAGTTTCAGAGTCGTATCAGAGCTCTTGAGACCATATTACCAAAACTAACATTAAGAAAAGCAGAATTTATTGAAGAGCAAAAAGAAGAAGAGACCAGAAGGTTAAGCACTTCTATGAGTTTTCCTGTGGCCCCAGCCATTAAACTAAAGCCTGCTGCTTTACCAAAGTTCACTGGAGTTTGTAGAGTTTTATCAGTGGAAAAAAGATTGGGTAACAGTCCAGATGCAGGACGAACCCACCAGATCAAAAGAGATTAAAAAATATAATCTCCTTGACAGTGTGGATGAGAAAATAGTACGAGAACATCGTCTTACAACTTACACAACAGCTGATGAAATATTTCAGGTTCTAGAGAATCGCTTTGGAGATAGAACAACTATTGCCCTTGAAATAGTGGAGGAGCTTCAAAAGGTTCCACCAGTTAAAGGAAACCAGCCCAAGAAGATTGTTGAGCTAATTCAAACTGTGGAAAAAGCTCTGATAGATATTGAAGAACTTTAAGCAACTGGTGCTTTAAAGAACCCTCTTATAAAAAAAGCAATAGAAAGTAAACTTCCAGACAGCCTGAAGAAGGAATGGCTTCTCCACATAGCCAGCAAAGGGACTGACGCTGAACATGACAATCGATTTGACTACCTCCTGAAATTTCTTCACGGTCAAGAAGCAATTTATGAAAAGCTGGATCAATTGAAGGACGAGGAGTCAAAACCAAGGTCTTAACTACGGCAAGCCTGAACCAGAACGTCTATTCAGCCAACATATGTCTCAAGTATGTGTGGTTTGTGGAGACGGGAGATTTTATTAAAGGCCTCCTACCTGAACAAGCAGAAAAGTGCCTTCATGTCTTCTGTATTGCAGTAGCTAAAACATCTGTGTCCAATCAGCCCAACCTTCTAGCAAAGAATGGTTTGGTGGAGTGGCCAGTCATCATGATGCTATTAGAGGTAACAGTTAACGCAGGACAAAAGATTGGGACCCTCATTGATCTACCATCAGATACCAACTATATAACATACAATGCAGCCGATCAATTAAACCTGAGAAGTGAAGCCATAACCCTGGTTGTCCATGGTGAGAGAAATGAAAGTTAAAGTCACCACAAGACGGTACCTCCTAAAGATCTGGGTCAGAACACAAAGGGGAAACTTCAAGTCCTACCACCTCCTCTGCTATGGTTTGGACAGCATTGCAGACATCCATCAACATGTAACTGAAAAAGCAATTCCAAAGTTCTTTCCAGACATCCCCCTCAATGAACTTGTGAGACCAAAAGAGATACAGCTGTTGATAAGTCACAAAAAAGGTCGGCTGGTTCCACAGAAGATACGTGCTGTTGGAGATCTTGTGCTATAGGATGAACCACTGGGAAAGACGGTCGCAGGAACACACCCTGGGCTGTTTGAAGAAGCTAAATTCACAGCGCATCAATCCCGAACCCACTTTGCCAGGTCAATGAGAACTGCTGCAGTGATGTATAAAGAGCATGTATTCTACTCATCTACCATCAAGCATTTTAGCTCTGCAGCTACCACTTGTGATTTCCTTGAATGGTGGAAGTGGGATAGCATTGGTGCTGCCTGCACCCCAACACCAACACTGGTCTCAACTAAAATGAGCTTCAGGCAACATTTCAGCTTGCTGCTAATCTTGCCAACGAGCGTCCTATTGATGCCCAGGTGCATAGCCGTGAAGACGGCATCCTGTATGTCACCCAACACACTCCACTTAGGATGGGCCTCTCCAAGTGGTAATAGCAGAACATTCGACTTTGCAAGCTACCCTTATAAAAGACTCAGAGAAATGCAGCATAATGTCAACAAGTTCTGGAGATCATGGAGCCAGCTTTCTGGCCCAAACCTATTTGTGAGAAGCAAATGGCACGCGTCACATCGAAATGTCACAGCTGGCGATATCGTTTGGCTGTGACCAAAATGTGGTGCGGGGCCAATTGAAGTTGGGAAGAGTCGTGAGTGTTAACCCAGACTCTAAGGGCATTGTGCGGGATGTTAACGTCAAAGTTGTCCAAAGCTCCTCCGTTCCTGTGACAAGACTCATGCCAAGCCAGCCTTTGTCTGGAGTCCTGAAAGAACCTGCACAAACTACTGTCCTGCACAGAGATGTTTGGGGCCTGGTGGTTTTATTGCCGGTGGAGGAACAAGTATAAAACTGAAAGGCAGTTCACAGGTATTTATTCTGCAATCTCTCCATCGATGCCATGGTAAGATCGAGTGGGAGGTGTTTTGGTGAACTGCCAGGAAGCCACTCCCCTCTGCCAATCTCCTCTGCTGCTAGTTTCTGCTCTACCTGCTGGAGATGGGAACCAGCTGGACTCAATCTCATGCAATCAAAGAGTGTACTTTTGGTGTGGCTAACCTCTCACTCTTGTTTGAGAAAGTAGCACAGCATGCAAGCCAAAGAGTGATGGTAGAATATGCAAAGTGCAAACTGTGCAAAAGGTTTCTTAAAAGATCTGTGAAGGACAGCCCGTAAGCTGATTACAGTCGCTTATTCACATGGACTGACTGATTTGGTTGATTATTAAAAGAAAAAAAAAAAATATATATATATATATATATATATATATATATATATATATATATATATAAAAACACACTTGGTGTTTATTAGTTAAAGCAGAAAATGTTGATACAAATGCTAATTTATTAATTGCTGTTAAATTTCACAATAAAATACTTTATGTTTATTATTCTTTAGGATTAAATTATTTAAATAGGTGGAAATTGATTTGTTTTTTCTTTTCATTTTGATCTCAATGTAATTAGATATTTCTGTCTCTTTTGAGGGCTTTCACCTGTGTGATTAGAGGAAAATTATAACCATCAAAATAAAGATGACTTAAATGAAGACTCCTTGAGAGGACACCAGTTATGTTTCACAGAAGAGACTTCCCTTTCAAGTGGGGATTGCACATTTAAAAATCAAATCTAAACAGAGAACTTGTCGTCAGAACAGAATGAGTTAATGCAGCAAGTCAATATTTGCAGTGTTGACCCCTCTTCTTCAAGACCTCTGCAATATCTTCCTGGTATGCTCTCAATCAACTTCTGGACAAAATCCTGACTGATAGCAGTCCATTCTTGCACAATCAATGCTTGCATTTTGTCAGAATTCCTAGGTTTTCGTTTGTCCACGTGTCTCTTGATGATTGACCACAAGTTTTCAATGGGATTAAGATCAGAGGAGTTTCCAGGCCATGGACCCAAAATCTCTCCGTTTTGTTCCCTGAGCCAGTTAGATATCACATTTGCTTTATGGCAAGGTGCTCCATCATGCTGAAAAAGGCATTGTTCATCACCAAACTGCATCACCAGACTTGGACGGTTGTGAGAAGTTGCTCTCTGAGGACATTCTGGTACCATTCTTTATTCATGGATGTGTTTTTAGGTAAGACTGGGAGAGAGCAGACTCCCTTGGCTGAGAAGCAACCCCACACATAAATGGTTTCAGGATGCTTTACAGTTGGCATGAGATAAGACTGGTGGGAGTGCTCACCTCGTCTTCGCCGAACAAGCTGTTTTTCAGATGTCCCAAACAATCGGAAAGGGGATTCATCAGAGAAAATTACTTTCCCCCAGTCCTCAGCAGTCCACTCCCTGTACCTTCTGCAGAATATCAGTGTCCCTGGTGGTTTTCCTAGAGAGAAGTGGCTTCTTTGCTGCCCTCCTTGAGACCAGGACTTGCGCCAAGAGTCTCCGTCTCACAGTGTATGCAGATGCACTCACACCTGGCTGCTGCCATTTCTGAGCAAGCTCTGCACTGCCTGTAGCCCGATCCCACAGGTGAAACACTTAACACTAGACGTCCCAGAGAATTCCAGTTTTCCTGCAATCCACCCTCCGCTTTTCAAGTTTATGTATTCACTCTACCTTGCTAACTGTCCTTGTTGTAACGCAAATAACCTGTGATGTGACCAGTCCTTCTACATGAGACTGGAAAAAGGCTGAAACAAACTGGCATCAGAACCAGAGCGTGCTCCAAACACTTTTCATTACCTGCCCCTACAACATCAGACCTTTTTGCAGGAATAACTTGATAAGTCATATCTAAATCTTTTATTTTGGCAAACCTATTGAACAACCAGATATCATACGGCTCCTAGTTCCTGAGCTCAGAACAGGTTATAACCATGCTTTTCAAACAAGGCAAAGCCTGTTTATATTGTCCATTCACCAACAGACTCATTTATATTGCAAAGCTCACTATGTGAAAGAACAACTTAGAGAATAATAACCCTAACCCAAACAGTATGATTTCAGTATTCGAGTAACATTTATTTCACCCAAGGAAAAGAACTACATATGAAGCTACAATTGTCACATTTAGCAGTTTTTACAAACCCAAGGTTAGTCCTTCCTGCATTTGTGACAGGTATACTTTGTGCAATGCACACAACGCGCAGTGCTACGGTTTCTGTTGCAGAGATTACACACCTGGTTTGCTTATAATAAAAATGAAAATATCTCAAAAAATACAGTTTGGCCTATCTTCCCAAAGTAAGAAAAAAAAGAATGTTAGAATTGTAAATATACAGTCATATATTTGTATTACTATTTTTATGTATTTATTACTGTTTTCAAGGCTGCACTTTAAATTCTAAAACTGTTTAGAGCTGTTCTAAATGAAATTTATTTTTGTTTCCGTCAGCTACTATCCTTTCTGCATTTTAATATCTTTTTATTTTTTATTTATTTTATTTTTCCTCAACGTTCCTGACAATACTGACACTAAAAAAAATTTTTGAATAGACTAAATGGGGACCATGAGGTTGCTCTGTGTCTATTTGGGGTCCAGGAGGACGCTTCGGGAAAGGTACAGGTGGCTCCGTGTCAGGGTGGTCTGGACTGTGCTGCATGTCCCTGTCATCAGTCGCAGATGTAGCAGGACAAACCTGCTTTCTAGCTTTCATACCTCTTTTTCTTGGTCCAAATTAAGAGGTCTTTTATGTTGGAGCAGATCACCTTGTGCTTCCCAAGTCTTGAGGCTTAACGTAGCTGCCTGAAAGGTGGCTCGTACACCTTCTCTTCCGGAGTATCATCGCTGTAAAACCAATCAAATATATATTGAAGAATACATTTCCTCTGATATAAGCAACACATTAGCTGCATCTGACACTGACTTCTAACCATCATAGGAACATAAATCTAAGGAAGTTATGATACATCAGGACTAACATATGCATCTATTCAGATCTTTGCAGAATAGAAATCTCACCTTGAAGAGAATGAAGTCTCAGCCGTGGCAGGGGACCTGGCCTGCTGTATTTGTGATGGTCCCTGGACATCCTCTGGACTATAAAATAAGTTAAAGTAGTTTGTTACAACAACGTAGTTTATTACACACAATGCAAAATGTATTGGCGGAATGTGGTTATAAAAGTTGTACAACTTTCCCTAAATCATTCTCACATACAATACAAGGTGGGAGCAGAGATATATACACATTAGCATTTTACTAACACAGCGTCTGTCTTATTTTTACGGCCGTTTTCAGGTGAGCGCTTTTTCAAAAATAGCCGAGACGTGCTGTATAGACACAATAAATAAAAAAATTCCTGTTAAACCTCCTAATAAAGCATGTCGTGCTGCAGCTTGTCTGGATATGCTGATCTGCATCACCTAACGTTTGCCTGCGTCGGACAGTCGGGGAGGACAAATATATACCGCAGCGTTTTACAAACACAGATGTTATTTTACCTACTGTTTTCACGCAAGCTCTTTTTCAAAAATAGCAGACATGCTGTATAGACACTGTAGAGATACTATAAATAAAAATCACGTGGAACTTACTGATAAATGAAGCAGCAAGTCCTCATCTTCTTCCTGCTTAATGCAAACTGCTGTTGTCTGATGATTCCTCAATTTCACTGTTACTGGTCCACCAGATGTCCTCCAAAGCTTCCAAATTGGTCATTTTCCTCTTCTGTCCAATCATGGTTTATTGAAATAAAATTATAGAAAAAAAGCAAGTCGAAACAGGATCCATGGAGCACAGCAACTAAAAGCTGCAGTGTATAAAGTAAACTGAACACAATGCAGATATACTTTTACGTACACAGCAAGCCTTGGTTATGCATGCCTGTCACATGACCTGAAATAGTTGCTCAATTACATTTTACCCTTAGTTGGAAAGCCTCTAGTTTCCAATGCTCCTGAATGTTAGGGGTGTGGCTGAAGATGAAAATGAGCCATTGCATTATTCCTCCAGAGTTTGGACATACCATGTGGAATTTTTAATCTCATTTTATTTGTTTAAACAGCTATAAAGGAAAAGAACAATTTTGAAACATGTTTTAGAAATTTTACAAGCTCATTTTGAAAGGCATGTGGATGAAACACCATAGGACTGTGTTTTGGATCATTCTATAAATAGTAGCAACAATCTTCCAGTCTTACTGATTACTCCCAAAACAGTTAATACCTACAACTCTTTTGAACATTTAACCCTTAATTTCCCTCATCCAAATTTCAAGGCAAGAAAACCTACGGCATAGAATGTGAAGAAATAACAGTATTTCCTCACAACCCTGTCCTCTCTGACCACTTTCTAATAACCTTCAGGATTATTTTAACAGAGTTCTGCTCCCCCAAAAGAAGGTTCAATTTTAGTAGATCTTTATCAGATAGTGCAGTTATAAATTTTAAAGAATCTGCTTCACTTTCTCTCTCCTCTGTGTCGCTGAGCAGTGCTGCAGAGTGCAAAAGCATAGCTTATTCCCCTTCACAGGTTGATGATTTTGTCGATGGGGTTGCTAGTTCTCTGCGTACTGCCTTAGACAATGCAGCTCCCTTGAAAATGAAAACAGTTAAAAATAGAAAGCTTGCTCCTTGGTTTAATGCAGAGCTGCGTACTTTGAAGCAAAATGCTAGGAAACTGGAGAGAAAATATTGCTCCACAGTCCTTCCTAGTCTGGAAAAATGGCTTACTGCTGTATAAGAGGACCCTTTGTAAAGCAAGAGCAGCATACTTCTCCTCATTAATAGAGGAGAATAAGAATAATCCTAGATTTCTTTTTAATACAGTTGCCAAACTCACCCAGAGCCATAGCTCTGTTGAACCGTCCATTCCACCTGCTCTTAGCAGCAATGATTTTATGGGATTCTTTATAAATAAGATTGATCTTATTAAAAATAAGATCATAAGCACTCCTCTATCCACGATTGTACCTGATGTAGTCATGGAATCTGAACCGGGTTTAGACTGCTTTGATCCAGTTACACTTTCTGAATTAGCAAAATTATTGTCTTCATCTAAGCCTTCGACTTGGATGTTAGATCCAGTTCCAACCAGGTTATTTAAGGAGGTATTCCCTTTGATCTCCTCCTCCATTTTAGATGTGATTAATCTATCTCAGTTACAGGGATATGTACCTAAAGCTTTTAAGGTTGCTGTGATTAAACCTCTGCTTAAGAAACCGTCTCTTGACCCAGATGACTTGGTTAATTATAGACCTATATCCAATCTTCCTTTCTTATCCAAAATTCTTGAGAAAGTAGTTGCCAAACAAGTTTGCAATTACTTACACCATAATGAACTTTTTGAAGACTTTCAGTCTGGCTTTAGAGCTCATCATAGCACTGAAACAGCTCTGGTGAAAGTCACTAATGATATTCTCATGGCCTCAGATAATGGAATCTGTGCTCATCCTGTTGGATCTTAGTGCTGCATTTGATACAGTTGACCATAATATTCCTTTAGAAAGACTTGAATATTTTGTTGGAATTAAAGGAGCAGCACTAGACTGGTTTAAATCTTATCTATTTGATCGAATTCAGTTTGTTCATGTTAATGATAGATCTTCAACACGCTCAAAGGTTACCTGTGGAGTACCACAGGGATCAGCGCTAGGACCAATTCTCTTTACTTTATACATGCTACCAATCGGTAGAATTATTAGACAGCATGGGATTAATTTTCACTGTTATGCTGATGATACCCAGCTATATCTGTCTATAAATCCAGATGAAGCTAACCCATTACATAGATTACAGGCATGTCTGAAGACATAAAAACCTGGATGACTCTTAACTTTCTGCTTCTGAATGCAGACAAAACAGAAGTTATAGTCTTTGGACCAGAGTCTCTGAAAAAGAAACTGATTAGCCAGTCACTTCATTTGGATGGGATTAAACTGATTTCAGATAATAAAGTAAAAAATCTTGGTGTTATTTTTGATCAGGACCTGTCATTTAAATCCCATATCAAAGAGGTTTCTAGAATTTCCTTCTTTCATCTGAGGAACATTGCAAAAATTAGATATCTCCTGTCCAGGGGTGATGGTTAGAAACTAGTCCATGCATTTGTTACTTCAAGGCTGGACTATTGTAATTCTTTACTATCAGGAAGTCCACAAACTGTAGTTAAAAGCCTTCAGCTGATCCAAAATGCTGCAGCCAGAGTTCTGATGAAAATGAAAAAGAGAGATCATATCTCTTCTATCCTGGCTTCTCTTCATTGGCTTCCTGTTAAATCCAGAATAGAATTTAAAATCCTCCTTCTCACATATAAAGCCTTAAATGGCCAAGCTCCATCTGATATCAGAGATCTGATTGTTCCTTATGTTCCTAACAGAGCACTTCGCTCTCAATCTGCAGGTTTACTAGTGGTTCCTAGAATTTCTAAAAGTCGAATGGGAGGCAGATCTTTTAGTTCTCAGGCTCCTCTCCTGTGGAACCAACTACCAGTTTTAGTCCGTGAGGCAGACACCCTGTCTACTTTTAAGGCTAGACTTAAAACTTTCCTTTTTGATAAAGCTTATAGTTAGGGTGGCTCAGGTTATCCTGAGCTATCTCTATACTTCTGCTACTATAGGCTTAGACTTCTGGAGGACATAGGGACCCCCATTTCATCATTCTGCTTCATTCTCTCTCTGTTCTCCTATTCTGCAGAATCTGTTAGTTCAATCTCTAACCTTCTGCTCTCTCTGCTTTTCCTCAGAGTAGCTTTGCCTCGTCTGTTCCTGTTTGGCTGTGACGTCATCCTGGAAAGAAACATCAGCTGTGCTGCTTCTATCAACACCCTTGTTTATAGATGTTGGAGATCGGCCTGTTGTCCAGTGTGGTCCTGTTTCTCTGATCGTGACTGAGTGGATGTGCTCTCTTCGTCCTCTGGCATGGGAGCTGCCTTGGAGTTCGTCTGCCTGGCTGTGTGTTTCCTGGACGGGGCCGCCTTTTACAGCTGCTTTTTGTATCTCTGCTTCTGTCTCCTTGAACCCCAGTCGGCCTCGGCAGATGGCCGCTCACACTGATCCTGCTGGAGGTTTCTTCCTTTTCAAAGGGAGTTTTTCCTCTCCACTGTCGCTACAAGCATGCTTAGTGTGAGGGATTGTATTTGAGTCAATGAGTCAATGCAATCAACTGGTTTTCCTTAGATAGAAAACTTTGTATCAATTTGACTGTATGATCTGGTTGAACTGTAAAGTGCCTTGAGATGACATGTGTTGTGAATTTGGCACCATAGAAATAAACTGAATTGAATTGAATTGAAATTCTTCTGGATCAGTTTGCATGTTTTCTAACCCAAAACAAGTTTTGGGGTTACTATATAAACCTTCAAACTCAACGCCATTTATGACATCTTGAAAAAGCTGGATGGGAAGAGAAACTTCAAACTTGGAATCAAAGTTCAGTCGATTGTTTTTTAACTATTTTGGAATAACTGGCCTTGATGGCTGAGAATCTTCACCAGCATTTATAGATCCTGTTTTCCACCTGTTGTCTCCTAAGCCTCTTTAACAGCACTTTGGCAGCTTTGGGCCCTGCCTCATAAATATCTACATTTTTTTTCAGTTTCCTCACTTAAACTTTTGTATATCTCCTGCCCAACTGGCCTTATTTGTTCTAGTAAGGAGGGTTTTTGTTAATCGAATGCAGCTGTTCTATTCTTTTTAAGTTTCCCTGCAAATCTGTTAGTTTTTCTGTCTAATCTTTTTTAAATCACTGAATTTTTAAATTATTTTACCCCTAATATTTGCTTTAGCCTGTGGTCGGAAGATTTAGATTTCTATTCATTTCTTACTACATTTATTGATTTATTTCATTTACTCACTGAAAAATATTTTCTTACTCAGTTTGTTTCACATAAAAGGCCACAAAATGTCTGAGTGAGAGGAGTGTGTGTAGACATACTTATTCCCATAACAAGCCAAATACTTCCTCAAGATTTATTCATGTTACTGTTTAACCAAAGTATCAGTAATTTGTTGTGACTCCGCCTGCTCTAAGTAAGGGAACGACTAAGACAGAACAGGCCAGACCATCATGCTGGTGTGACGTCATGAATGCCTTGTTCTCAATTTACTTTGAAACGTAAATAAAATGCTGACATTGAAAGTCAGCATTTTATTTGTCCTATTAAACAATCTTTCGCTCTGTGAAGGTCCTTACTCAACATTAAATAATAATTCTAGTACGCATGCTATGCCTATTACAGTAAAAAGTTAATTCACGGTCCTGTTTACAGAAATATCTCCATAAATCTTAAATTTCTAAATTGCTTCTCTCAGTGAGTCCATCTTCTCTCTCTGCTAGATGTATACATTTTTGGGTTTAAGAGTAAATTGAAATTGTCTGAATATGTATATATATATATATATATATATATATATACACTATATTGCCAAAAGTATTTGCTCACCTGCCTTGACTCACATATGAGCTTAAGTGACATCCCGTTCCTAATCCATAGGGTTCAATATGACGTCGGTCCACCCTTTGCAGCTAGAACAGCTTCAACTCTTCTGGGAAGGCTGTCCACAAGGTTTAGGAGTGTGTTTATGGGAATTTTTGACCATTCTTCCAGAAGCGCATTTGTGAGGTCGCACACTGATGTTGGACGAGAAGGCCTGGCTCTCAGTCTCCGCTCTAATTCATCCCAAAGGTGTTCTATCGGGTTGAGGTCAGGACTCTGTGCAGGCCAGTCAA